GCAGAGACCCAAGTATTTGGGCCATCTTCTGCTGTTTTCCAGGAGCATGAGCAGGAAGCTGGATCGGAAGTGGAGCAGTTGGCGCTCAAACCAGCGCTCTGATGTGGGATGCTGACATGGCAGTGGCAGCTTAGGTTGCTGCACCACAGCACCTGCTTCTGTGCATCTTTTAGGAAATGTCCTTGTAGGTCCTTTGCTCGTATTTCAGTAGTTGTTTATCTTCTTGTTATTCAGTAATTTGAGTTCCTTGTATATTTTGGGTGTTAGCCTTTTATCCAATGTATAACTTAGAAATAATTTCTCTTAGTCTCTGAGTTGTCTCTTTACTCTTCTAATTGCTTGCTTTTTAATTTAATAGAATCCCATTTGTCTGTTTTTGCTTTCATTGTGTTTTCTTTTGAAGTCTGGTTATATTCTTCTGTTTGTTTGTTTGAAAGGGAGAATTACAGAGACAGAGAGAAAGGGATCTTCCATCTGCTGGTACTCCCCAGATGATTGCAATGCCGGGGTTGGGCCTGGGAAAACACAGGAGCCAGGAATTTCATCTGGGTTTCCCACATGGGTGCAGGAGCCCACACACCTGGGCCATCCTCTAATGCTTTTTCAGGCCATTAGCAAGGAGCTAAATGGAAAATGGAGCAGCCAGGACTCCAGTGACCATATGAGATTCTGGCATTGTGGGCTGTGGCTTAACCTGCTACACCACAATGGTGGCCCCTCTGGTTATATTCATTTTCTCTTTAAAATTTATTTTTTTTTAATTTTATTTGAAAGAGTTATAGAGAGAAGGAGAGACAGAGAGACATTCCATTCACTGATTCACTCCTCAAAAGCTATAGCAGCAGGGACTGTGCCAGCTTGAAGCCAAGAACTGAGAACTTCTACCAGGTCTTTCATCAGGGTGCAAGGGCTCAAGCACTTGGGCCATTCTCCACTGCTTTCCCAGACATCTTAGAAGGGAACTGGATCAGAAGTGGAGCAGCTGAGACACAAACTGGCAGCCATATGGGATGCTGGCATCATCACAGGTGGTGGTCTACCCAACTACTGGCCCCTCTGGTTGTATATTCTTAAAGGAAATTTTCTTTGAGTTCACCAAATGGAGCAACTATTACCTATAAAATCAGTTTTTCTAAAGCATTTTGGTGTTGATGAGAAAAACCAAACTAGCCAAAGAAATGCTTTAACAGTTCATGCTTTGTTCCTGTTAATTCTCAGACTGAATATAAAGGTGCAAATTAGGATAAAATATATATATACTAAATTATATATACTAAAATAAATATATATATGCTAAATCAGAATTAGCAGATTACTTTCCCAAATTTTTAATCTCTGTTTTCTATGGTAATAATTAAATCAATAAAGAGCAGAGAAGTCTCATCACCTGTCAAAAAGAAAGAGCGACTAAGGAGTTTGGAGAATGGATAATAACTCTGAGGACTTTTTCATCTTTAGTGCTATCCGATTTTGTTTATTGAAAAGTAAAATTTGAAGAAGGCTGTTGTTTGGCTGGTTATATGCGTGTGTGGGTATTGAATCACCTGCAAACTAAAACCCTAACATTAGTATCCCTTTTTTCTCCAGCCAAAAACTCAGTAATGGAGCCCCACAGCTATTTGTGCTGATACCACAACCGAAAACACATACTATATATAGCAGGCAGCATTTTGACTCCAGTAAAAGCAAACAGTATCGTTAAAAGTTAAGGCAATAGGTAAACAGAATGACTAAAATTGAGGTTTCATTTTTCTTCACTGTTAAGTAGAAGAAGGGAAAAGATATTCTCTAAAAAAGAAGCTTAAAAGAACTAAAGAGCAAACACTTTTTAAAAATTCATAAACATAATGCTCTCTCTCTCTCTCTCTAGTGGATATTGCTTCTTTTGGCAATAGCATTTTTCCTTTAGAACCCAAAAATTTTCTTAGGGACAAAATACTAACTTACTTCAAAAAGTTCATGGAAAGTGTAATTAAAAGATAACATATTCTCCATGAAGTTTTTTAACACCCTTGAACGTTTAATTCAGGTTTACCAGATGCATATTTTCTGGTCTAGCCTTCAAAAATCTCTCTTTTGCAACTTCGGAGAAATTCATTAACAAAAAATCTTGATTAGGGGCCGGCACTGTGGTGTAGTGGATGAAGCTGCCACCTGCCGACACCGGCATGTTGGAGTCTCAGCTGTTACACTTCTGATCCAGCTCCCTGCTAGTGCACCTGGGAAAGCAATGGAAGATTGCCTAAGTATCTGGGCCCCTGCACCCATGTGGGAGACCTGGAAGAAGCTTCTGGCTTTGGATCAGTCCAGCTCCAGTATTGCAGCCATTTGGGGGTGAACCAGCACATAGAAGATCTCTCTCTCTCTCTCTCTCTCTCTCTCTACTCTGCCTTTCAAATACATAAAATAAATCTTTAAAAATCATCTGATTATCAACTTTAACTCTTTGAAAAGATAGATTTTACATGCTTTTCCTTATTGAAATATTGTCCATAACTGTCTTGGAGACAGAGACTTGCTACTGAACATGATTAGAAATCTATGATCCAAAAATGTAACAATCTAAGAGAACATCTCTAGAGCTTATATTCTCTCTCTGGATATTGCAGTTACTTTAGAATGAAATAGTCTTAGAAAACTAGTGTCCACTGATAAGAAAAATGTAATTATTTCAATAATACTTTGCTTGAATTTTCAGTCAGGTCGTAGTTTTGTTGTTGTTGTTGTTTTCCAACACATAGTAGAATACCACTCCCCTTACTGGCTAGAATTCACTTCCCACTCCTGGAATTAGCTCATGGTTGTGGCTAAGAGAAAAAGAGTCCTGGTGTTAGAGGTCATAACACAGAACCAACCCACTCAGACCACTGGCAGATTGCAGAAGTATTCTTAAGGTGTTCTGCCATGTCCTACTTCAGGAAAAGAAAATGAAAAGTGGCTCTGAAGACAACTGTTTAAAAGATGAGTGATTCGTCAACTTGAATTTTCTGCAGAGCCATCCATGGTGGCTGCCTGTTGTTCAGTGTTGAAGTATGTGTTGCTAAGTGTCCCTGCTCTGATGTTTCATCTAAGGAGGGCAAAAGTTTTGATGATGACAGGGCTTCTCTTGAACAAACTTGATTTTTAAGTCGTGGGCCCTTGACAGTATGGAAAAAGGGTGGTTGTTTTCCTGCATTTTTAATCTTTTACAGAGATAACTATGCATTTAAATTCAATGGGACATTTCAAGCTGAAATACAAATTTCTTAAATATGATAGGAAACTTTAACAATAGTTTATACTAGTGTTTTCCAAAAATATAACCTAGGGACCAGCACTGTAGCATAGTAGGTAAAGCTGCCGCCTGCAGTGCCAGCATCCCGTATGGGCACCGATTCGAGTCCCAGCTGCTTCACTTCCAATCCAGCTCTCTGCTGTGGCCTGGGAAAGCAGTAGAAGATGGCCCAAGTCCTTGGGCAATTGTACCCACATAGGAGACCCAGAAGAAGCTCCTGGCTCCTGGCTTCGGATCTGTACAGCTTTGACCATTGGCAGCCATCTGGGGAGTGAATCAGCAGATGGAAAATCTCTCTCTCTCTGCCTCTGCCTCTCTCTATATAACTCTGCCTTTCAAATAAATAAAGAAATCTTTAAAATATATATATATAACCTAGTGGCTCATGATCAGCATTTTTGGAAAATAGGGCATGGCATTGCGGTGCAGCAGTTTAGTTGCCACCTGCGAGGCTAGCAACTCCTATCAGAATGTCAGTTCCAATCCTGATCCAGCTCCCTGCTAAAGCACCTGGGAGGGCAGCAGATGGTGCCCACATGCAGACCCAGGTGGAGTGCCTGGCTCCTGGCCTCAGCCTGCCCCGCCCTGGCTGTTGTAGCCATTTATGAAGTAAACAAGAAGATAAAGGATCTTTCTGTCCTTCTCCCCTCCTTCCCTTCTCTCTCTCTCTCTCCCCTTTTACAAAATCTTTTAAAAAATAAATAGAAGTTACCATAGTCTGTTACCCAAAATATAGGGAGTTGTATTTTGGGAAATATTCAGTATACCCAATAAACTCAAATTTTATTGAATATAATAGAAAATATTCAAAATCTTTGGTTATGTATGTGTGTGTGTGTGTGTGCTAAATTACAATGTAAAATTGTATTTCTCTTATAAGTCCTGATCAAAAACACTTGGGAAATGTTGATAATTAGATTAATCAGATTTATTTAGTAGGAGAATTTTCTGTCCTACTAGTAAGAGTAGGTAATAGGAATTTCTGTCCTGTACTTGGAAGATATCACTCACACATCAGACACACTGAAGCTATCACCATTTTGAATGCATGCTCTGTTTTTCATCAGAATTCATGATGCACAGTTGCTATGTGGTAGGGGATATACTATGTTCTATCACTAGATAGTGTCTGAAACTCACCAAGGGAGAGCTGCTTTTTTTTTTTTTAAAGATTATTTTACTTTACTTGAAATTCAGAGTTACACAGAGAGAGAAGGAGAGGCAGAGAGAGAGAGAGAGAGAGAGATCTTTAATCCACTGGTTCACTTCCCAATTGTCCACAACAGCTGGAGCTGTACCGATCTGAAGCCAGGAATAAGGAGCCTCCTCTGGGTCTCCCAACCAGGTGCAGGGGCCCAAGGATTTAGGCCATCTTCCACTGCGCTCTCAGGCCATAGCAGTGAGCTGGATTGGAAGTGGAGCTGCCAGGTCTCCTCTCGAACTGGTGCCCACGTGGAATGCCGGCACTGCAGGTGGTGGCCTTACCCACTATGCCACAGAGCTGGCCCCCAAGGAGAGCTTCTTAAATACACAAACAACCTCACACCTCACAGTGGAGAATCTCTACCAGTGGGAAGGAACCTGAGGGAATGTTCCCTGTATCTCAAGTCTGTTAGGATAGGCAAGCAAAATGAAGATGCAATAATTTAGGCCATTATTGAATTAACTTTTACAAAGTCGTACTGTTATACTTGGCTCTGATGTCTGGATTTCTCCATTGAAACAGGCAAAACTAGATGGTGGAAGACAACAATGGAGACCCATCCTCATGGCTGTGACCGAGAAGGACCTACTACTTTATGACTGTATGCCGTGGACAAGAGATGCCTGGGCATCACCATGTCATAGCTACCCTCTGGTTGCTACAAGGTAAGACTAAAGGCAAAAAAAAACAAAAAACAAAAAAAAAAAACAAAACTTATCTTCCTCTAAATCTACTAATGAATTTTAAAATGAATTCTATTATCTAAAGTGCCTAAGAAAGCATTTTAAGTGTCTGATATCAATGATGTAGACAGAAACTTTTCTCTTTTTTTTTTCAAACATTCCCACAAGTCCACTATTTGTTTTTTTGTTTTTTGTTTTTTTTTTTTAAGATTTATTTATTTATTTGAAAGTCAGAGTTACACAGAGAAAGAAGGAGAAGCAGAGAGAGAGACAGAGAGAGAGAGAGGGAGGTCTTCCATCCCCTGATTCGCTTCCCAGTTGGCCACAATGGCTGGAGCTGTGCCGATCCAAAACCTGGAGTCAGGAGCTTCTTCTGGCCTCCCACGTGGGTGCAGGAGCCTAAGGACTTGTGCCATCTTCTACTGCTGCTTTCCCAGGCCACAGCAGAGAGCTGGATCGGAAGTGGAGCAGCCAGGACTAGAACCAGCGCCCACATGGGATGCTGGCACTGGAGGCGGCGGCCTTACCCGCTGTGCCACAGTGCTGGCCCCCAGAAGCTTTTCTTTCACAACCTTATGGGCTATTTTACAGCTCCTAGCTCCAGAATAAGTTGTTTCTGTCACTAGTATTTTTGTGTGTGTCTTTTAAGTTGTTGACGCAGTTTCCTGTGTTTAAGACTTGTTTAGTCATGAAGATAATAGGGTTTTTTTGTTTGTTTTATTGGCTGTGACTAGAAAACCACTGAAATTGTGACAGCTTTCTGACTGAGTGATGAAATCATTTAAACCAGAATGTGGTGCTATGGATAAACCATGCAGCTCAGCCAGAATACTCTTGAGCTTCTCTTTCTAATTTAAGAACATGTAATTTTTAATTCATCTAACAAACATTGATTTGATCTGAAGCAGTAGGACGTTTCCCCATATACTATATCTGGGGACTTGGAATGGAAAAGAATAAAGAAATGTAGATTTAGGGGTCAAGATGTCCCAGGGGATAAGAACTTTGAAACTAGAACGTATATTCAAATTCCGTTTTGTTTAATCATTAAGAAGAATAAGGTGTTGCTGTCACTCAAAAGCCACACTAAAAAGCAGTTTATCTGGTAGTTAATGGGACCATATGGTATGTCCCATAGGAAACAGTGTGTGCTTTCCTGCTTTGAGCAGATCTCATGTGAGGAAGAGTGCAAGTATTCTTTGAGATTTCCTCCAGTTTCCAATTTCCCTTCCATGTATAATTTTTTTTTTTTTTTTTTTTTTTTGACAGGCAGAGTTAGACAGTGAGAAAGAGAGAGACAGAGAGAAAGGTCTTCCTTTGCCATTGGTTCACCCTCCAATGGCCTCCGCGGCCAGCGTGCTGCGGCCGGCGCACCGCGCTGATCCGATGGCAGGAGCCAGGAGCCAGGTGCTTTTCCTGGTCTCCCATGGGGTGCAGGGCCCAAGCACCTGGGCCATCCTCCACTGCATTCCCTGGCCACAGCAAAGAGCTGGCCTGGAAGAGGGGCAACCGGGACAGAATCCGGCGCCCCAACCGGGACTAGAACCCGGTGTGCCGGCGCCGCAAGGCGGAGGATTAGCCTGGTGAGCCGCGGCGCCGGCGCCCATGTATAATTATTTTTATAAAAGATAAGTTTCCCATAGCTTTCCAGGACTCTCTAATTTAGAGCTGGAGCTCCTACTCACACAGCAGAGGTAAAGGAAGAGTCGAACCTCAGCGCTGGGGAGGAACCCCTCAGGAACTCCTTCAGGACTGAAGCGTCCTCCGGAAAGACTGCATTTAACCATCAGTTTACCTGTTTGTTTGTTTGTTTATCTGATAGAGGAAGAGACAGAGAGAGAGAGATCTTCCATCTGCAGGTTCACCCCCCAAATTGGCCACAATGGCTGAAACTGGGCAGACCCAAAACCGGGAGCCAGGAGCCCCCTCCAGGTCCCCCATGAGGCTGCCTCTGCTGCTTTCCCAGGCCACAGCAGAGAGCTGGATTGGAAGTGGAGCAGCTGGGACTTGAACCAGCGCCAATGTGGGATCCCAGTACTGTAGGCACTGGCTTTACCTGCTGTGCTATAGCACCAGCCCCTATTTTTTTTGTTTTATCACTACTAAATTATAACTACCCTAGAAGTCAGGCACTATGACTTAGTCATCTCAGCATTTCCCACAGTGCTTTGCATGTTGTAGGCACTCAATAAATCTTACAGTTAAATTGTTACGTACAGTGTCTGTGTCACAGTTACTCTGGGGACATGACAGGAATCCTGCAAAAACAGGTGGATATATCTCAGTAGTTATAATTAGAGCAATTAAATTTATATTTTTCAAAGAATTAGAACTTAAAAAAATGACCATTGAGATCTGTTAAGTTTAAATGATTTTGAAGCAGCTTACACTCCACTCCTGAATATGGACTATAAAGAAGGTAGCTTTATGCTACCTTTTTTTTTTTTTTTTTTAAGATTTATTTATTTATTTGAAAGAGTTACACAGAAAGAGGAGAGGCAGAGAGAGGTCTTCCATCCACTGATTCACTTTCCAGTTGGCCACAACGGCTGGCTGGAGCTGAGCCGATCTGAAGCCAGGAGCCAGGAGCTCTTTTGGGTCTCCCACATGCGTGTTTGGGCCATCTTCTACTGCTTTCCCAGGCCATAGCAGAGAGCTGGATCAGAAGTGGAGCAGCTGGGACTTGAACCAGCACCCATATGGGATGCCAGTACTGCAGGTGGCAGCTTTATCCACTATGCCACAGCACCAGCCCCCGATACATTTCTTTAACTGTGTACCCTTGGAAGATGGGGCAGAAACCCATAGATGAATCTCTGTTGAATGCTAAAAATACAGTTCCATAAATAAACAATTTCTATCCATAGATTAGACTGGGTGTAGATCACTGAGGCACTTTGTATGTTTTTATATTATCAGTGTGGGGAAAAGATATATATAAGATTTAAGGATTAAAACTATAAAACTTGCAGAAGAAAACACAAGAGTGATCTTCAAGACCTTGGGTGAGCTACAGCCTTCTTGGATATGACACCAAAACCACAAGTAGCAAGAAAAAAAAAATTAGGTAAATTGAACCTCATCAAAATTGAAAACTTCTGTGCTGCAGTGTCAAGAAAGTGAAAAGACAGCTTACAAAATGAGAGAAAATATCTGAAAATCATATACCTCTCAGGAGATTTTACTTAGAATATTTAAAGAACTTTACCAACTCAATAATAAAAAGATATATTACTGTACTAGACGAATGGGAAAAGGAAAAGGAGCTGAATGGAATTTATCCATAGAATGACAATATATATATATGGCCATGATGTACATGAAAAGATACTCATCATTAGGGAAATGAAAATCAAAACCATAGTGAGAGGGACTAGCACTGTGGTGTAGCAGGTAAAGCTGCCACCTGCAGTGCCGGCATCCCATATGGGTGCTGATTCGAGTCCCAGCTGCTCCTCTTCCGATCCAGCTCTCTGCTATGGCCTGGGAACGCAGTAGAAGATGGCCCAAGTCCTTGGGCCCCTGTACCCGTGTGGGAGATTCTAAAGTTCTATTTTAAAAAAAAAAAAAAAAAAACAGTGAGGGGGCTGATGCTGTGCTGTAGCAGGTTAATACACCACCTGCAGCACCAGCATCCCATAGGGGCACCAGTTCGAGACCCGGATGCTCCACTTTGGATCCTGCTCCCAGCTAATGTGCCTGGGAAAGTGGTGGAATATGGCCCAAGTCCCTGGCCCCTGCACCCACATGAGTGGCCCAGCCCCAGCTATTGGTGGCCACTGGGGAGTGAAGCAGCAGTGAAAGACCCTCCTTCCTTTGCCTCTCCTTCTCTCTGTAACTCTGCCTTTCAAATAAATAAAATACATCTTTAAAAAATAAAAAAACATAGTGAGATAACATTTCTCACCCACTAGGATGACTGTAATTAAAAGGACAATAAAAGTATGGATGAATTTGTGGAGAAAGTGCAGCCCTCATAGGCTGCTGGTGGGAATGTAAAATGATGCAGTCATTGCGGAAAACAGTCTGGGAGTTCCTAAAAGGTAAACACAAAGTCATCGTATGACCCAGAAATTCCACTTTAGGTTGTTTAATAAAGAGAAATGAAAACTTAGGCCCACACAGAAACTTATATGAATGTTCTCTACAATATTATTCACAGTAGTCAACAAAATGGAAGCAAAAGGGCCAGCGCTGTGTAGCAGGTAGAGCCATCACCTGCAGTGCCAGTATCCCATATGGGCGCTCGTTCGAGACCAGGTTGCTCAGCTCTCTTCTGTGGCCTGGGGAAGCAGTAAAAGATGGCCCAAGACTTGAGCCCCTGAACCCACATGGGGGAACCCGGGGAGGCCCCTGGCTCCTGGCTTCATATCGGCCCAGCTCTGGCCATTGCAGCCATTTGGGGAGTGAACCAGTAGATGGAAGATCTCTCTCTCTCTCTCTCTGCCTCTGCCTCTCTTTAATTCTGCCTTTCAGATAAATAAATAAATCTTTGAAAAAAAATGGAAACGACTCAGTGCCCATCAGTTGATGAATGGATGCACAAGTGTGATATATCCATGCAATGGGAGATTTCAACAATAAAAAGGAATAAAGTTCTGACACATGCTATAACGTGAATAAACCCCGAAAACACTAAGTGAAAGGAGCCTGACACAGAAGTCCACATAGTTTATGATTCTATTTATATGAAATGTCCAGAATAGGCAAATCTAAAAAAGCAAATGGTAGATTAACAGTCACCAGGGGCGAGGGTAGTGAGCAATATTAAACAACTGCTAATGGGTATAGGATTTCCTTTTGGAGTGATGAAAATCTGCTAAAATTGAATGTACTAATGCTTGTACAGCTCTGAATATACTGCATACCACTGAACTTAAGTGAGAAAATTGAATGGTGTATGAATTGTATCTCAATAAAGCTATCAGTTAAAACAAAAGAACCTGACAAGATTTAATAACTGCTTAGCTACTTTTTTCTTTTTGACAGAGCTACAGACAGTGAGAGAGAGAGAGAGAGAGGTCTTCCCTCTGTTGGTTCACTCCCCAAATGGCCACAGCTACTTCTAAATTATCATAGCAGCAGGCATTTGGCCCAATGGTTAGTACTCCACTTGAGATACCTGTATCCCATATTAGAGTGCCTGTGTTCAAGTCCCGACTCTAATTTTGGTTTCCTGCTGATGTGTATACAGGAGGCAGCAGGTGATGGCTCAAGTAGTTGGGTCCCTGCCACACACATGGGAGGCCCAGATTGAACTCCCAGTTCCTAGCTTCAGCATGACCATAACCCAGGCTGTTGTGGGCATTTTGGAAGTGTGTGTGATAAATGTAAAAAAGATGTGTGATTATAATATTTATTAAAATTGTATCAAAGAAGAATCCTATTTGAGATGTATAATGATTGGTTTCATATGGCCATTGTTAGAAGAGGAGCTCTTGATTTACTCAACAGTTTTTACATGTGGTCAATTCTAAATTTTTTAGTTATGAGGAATTAAAATATATTATTTGAATCAACCTAGGCATGCAAATTGAACTGTTAATTAAACTCATGAGCCCAATAGCTCTCTATACTTGTTTCTTAATAAGTTTTACTAATATAACAGTAGGGATTCTTCACTCCTTGTTTGGGAAGTACTGGTGGATTAGGATCAAGGATGACAAGCAAATGAGAGGTTTAGTTTTTCCATGTGGCCCATATTGGCCAGGTGGAATTGGGTTGAAGTCACTGCGTGATAGAATTAAGCAGGGCTTAATCATCCCTCCCAGAAGGCAGAGGGTGATCACTGAGAGAGAGCAGAAGATGGAGCCAGACCAGGAGGTGTCCTGCAGCCGGAGGCAAGGCAGAAGGTAGTGTGCTTATGTCCTTAACGTGGGGGAGTGGGTTTGAGGTTTAAATGAGTAGTGAGAAAAGGCTGAATGTTTACTTTCCCTATTTGTTTTTCTTGTACTTATTATCGGGTTCTTGGGAGTAAATGAAAGGGAAGGGGAAAAATAGCATAAAGACAGAGGTTAGGAAAAGAAATTAAAGACCTTGATTATCTACAAAAGTAGATAGCCCCTGATAAATTGAGAACTAATCATAATTCAGAATCAGATAACATTGTCAGAGCAGTGTAAATTAGCACAAGTTACTGTTTATGTTGAATTGTGTATTTACAAATCCTTGGAAACCAAAGCTGAGTAAAACAAAGAAGTGAGAAATGAAGAATATTTTTTTACACATATTTTAAGATTAAAGCCAGATACAAGACAGAAGTAGAAAGGCACATTGATTTCAGAGCTGCTGTGAATTTTGCAGGATGTGTGTTTTGTAGTCTTTACATAGTAACTTTCTTTGGAAGAGGAAAAGGTCTGAAGGAAAGTGTGGCTACTTTATGATGTGGAAAAGAGAGTGGTGGTGTGCTTAAGTGACTTATGGGGGCAAAGCTGCTAAAACGCCTTTGCATGAGCTCATCTGGCCTCCCCATAAAAGGGGGAGCCTTTTGGCCGTGTGTCCTGACTAACTGTTTCTCAGCAAGGCTCCGGCAGCTGGTTTAAATTAGATTTCCTCTGCCAAAGATTTCATAATCAAATGTGTAGGAAAAAATTGTCCTACTTTATAAAATTGTCCATTACTTTATATTTTGTAATGTCTGACTTGGGATTAGCAATCAAACAGAATATGGTAGAATATCCCTGTCGCTTTCCCCAGCGCTCCATTCCACTTGGACCAGATGTGGAGTAATTCTGAAGCTTACTTAACTCTTTCTGGGACAGCTAATGTTTAATTGGCATGTTAGTTCTATGGGAAGCAGCGCAGTAAACACGTTCTCAAGGTATTCTTCATGGACCCTTGAGGATTCCCCTTCTCAAGGGTTCTGTAGATTTAAAGCTGTTTTCGTAATAATACTGTTGTTTGCTTTTGGCACTGTGTTGACATTCGCCCTGAGGTTGTGTAGATTGCTGATGCCTTTGCGTGAATCAAGGCAGTAGGCACCAAGCTGCTTGTTGTAGCATACTCCCGTATTCTAGTAGTGATTGTAGTCTTTCCCCACACAGACTTGCAGAGGGAAAATGCCGCTTAACCTCAAAATGTCTTTGTTGGAATAATGAAAATTATTTAATCTTGTGTGCTCATCTTTAAAATTCCCTAGTCAGAAATGGAAAGTGCTCATAGAACACTTCTACAGCCTACTGAAGTGTGATCCGATTGCTGTCTCGAGGAAGAGCACGTGGACTGAGCTGTGAGCTCAACTCGATGTGTTTTTCATGGAACACCCCTTTGTTATTATTTTGAAAATTTTATTTATTCCCTTATTTGAAAGGCAGAGAGACAGAAGTGAGGTCTTTCATCCAGTATTTCACTCCAAATGCTGCAATAGCCAAGGCTGGGCCAGGCCAAAGCCAAGAGCTTTAACTACATCTAGGTGTCTCATATGGGTGGCAGGAACCCAAGTTCTGGGGCCATCATGTCTGCCTCCCAAGCATGTTTGCAGGAAGCTGGATGAGAAGCAGAGGCGGGACTCAATTCCAGACACTCTGATATGGGTTGTAGGCTTAACCTACTGCACCACAAACACCCACCCTAAAACACCGTTTTTTACTTCAAAGGACAACTGACTGACCAACTGTGGTTAGTCAGACTAGAGTATTTGTAAGACATTTTCTCTACAATGATCAAATGAGTCTGTCACTTAAGAAAAACATTAACATGGCCAGCACTGTGGCGCAGCGGGTTAACGCCCTGGCCTGAAGCGCTGGCATCCCATATGGGTGCTGGTTCAAGACCAGGCTGCTCTACTTCCGATCCAGCTCTCTGCTATGACCTGGGAAAACAGTAGAAGATGGCCCAAATCCTTGGGTCCCTGCACCCGCGTGGGAGACCTGGAAGAAGCTCCTGGCTCCTAGCTTCATATTGGTGCAGCTCCAGCCATTGCTGCCAATTGGGGAGTGGGCCATCAGATGGAAGACCTCCCTCTCCCTCTCTTTACCTCTCCTCTCCTCTCTGTGTAGCTCTGACTTTCAAATAAATAAATAAATCTTAAAAAAAAAAAAAAAAAAAACATTAACTGTATTTGTTGCCCCTGATAAAATTCTAGCTTCCAGGTGAAAATTAAAATTCTGGAAAACTTGTTCTGCTACTGGGATCTTGACCCCTCCCTGATAGGTATTTTTATGATGAGATTAGTGGTGACATTATTGAGTGCAACTTTTCCACCTTTTTCTTATCTGGGATATGTACCTAACTCTATGAACAAATATTTTCTAAATGACCAGTACATGATGTTACATAATCATGCGTGGGTAAAAAAACATCTGTTCAAAGTAGAAGAGAGACCAGAGGATTTGAGTTTGTGTCCTCAGACCAAAAAGTGCAAGCCATTAGTTCAGTGGTTTTCAATTAATGGCTACATGTTTTGGGGAGCTTTTAATGATACAAGGTTGCCTAGGTCAGTTATATCTGATTTTTTCAGGACCTGATCCAGACATGAGTGTGTTTTCAAAGCTGTGCAACAGCTGATTCTAGTGAACAGTGGGAGTGAGAGGTGCAGTAATTAACTTGGCTGACTCAAATTGGTAGCATTGAAGAAAGTACCTTTTCCTTGAGAATGTACCTTTTGTCCTAGTTATCACTAGTGACTCTCACAACCAAAGGAGATGTAAAGGAACATCCATTTGCTCTTAGAATGTCTTATTCTTCTTTATTTAAAATTTATTTATTTATTTATTTATTTGATAGGCAGAGTGAAAGAGGGAGGGAAAGACTGACAGATATTTTCAAACCACTGGTTCACTCTCTATGACCACAACAGCCAGCTTTGGGTCAGATTGAAGCCAAGAGCCAGGAAGTCCATCCTGGTCTCCCACGTGGGTGATAGGGACCCAAGTAATTGGACCATCATCTGTTGCCTTCTCAGGCACGTTGTTAGGAAGCTGGTGCAGAAGTGGAGTAGCTGGAACTCCAGCCAGCACTCCTATATGGGATGCTGGCCTCGTAGATGTCAGCTTAACCTGCTGTGCCACAGTAACACTTCCTTAGTTGTCTACTTGCCAGGTAGCTATTAGAGGAGTGAAGAGTAAATTTATAGAAAAACGTTATAGGTATGCAGCCTGTAACAAAGCTGAGAATAAACTCCAGTATTTATTGCTGGGCTTTTTTTGTTTGTTTGTTTGTTTGTTTTGTGTGTGTGGATTTTCTTTTAAGATTTTAGTTACTTGAAAGTCAGATGTACTGAGATACAGATATCTTTCATCACTCCCCAAGTGGCTGCAGCAGACAGGGTTAGGCAGGCAGAAGCCAGGAGCCAGGGGCTTCTCCCAAGTCTCCCACCTGGGTGCAGGGGCCCAAGCACTTAGGTCATCCTCTGCTGCTTTTCCAGGCACATTGGCACATTAGCAGGGAGGTGGATTGGAAGTAGAGTGGACAGGACTCAAAACCGACACCCAAATGGGATGCCAACGTTGCAGGTGCAGGTGATGGCTTTACCCAACGTGCCACAATGCTGGCCCTGTTTATTACTATTTAATATGCACTCCACACCTAGTTTTTTTTTTTTTTCAATCTTCTGTGGAAAGCAGCATTTTCTGAACTACTCTTTATAAATACTAATATGTCTCCTTATGTTGGTCAACTTCACATTTCTTAAAACTAAGGGAAGTATTTTTATAAGTGAATAGATTACTAAATCATAAAACAAACTATTGAATAGTTTGGTGATCTTTTGTAAAATTACATTTTTTACAGTTTTTCCACATGTCTACTATTATGTTACTTTTTAAAAATATATTTATTTTTATTTATTTGAAAGGCAGAGTTACAGAGATAGAGATCTTCTATCCACTGGTTCAATCACCAATTGGCCAGGGCTAGGCCAGGAAAGGTAGGAGACAGGAGCTTTTTCTGGGTCTCCCACGTGGTTGCAGGGGCCCCAATATTTGGGCCATCCTCCTCTGCTTTCCCAGGGCATTAGCAGGGAGCTGAATCAGAAGTGGAACAGCTGGGACATGAACTGTTGCCTTTGTGGGATGTTGGCACTGAGGCCAGGCGGTGGCTTAATCCACTCCACCACAATGCTGGCCTCCACTTTTTTTTTTTTTTTGGTAGTTTTATTGGCATATAATGCACATACATATAATTCATCCATTTGAAGTCATGAGATTCTATTTTTAAACAAGTTTTTTTTTAAGATTTTATTTATTTATTTGAGAGGTAGAGCTACAGACAGTGAGAGGGAGAAACAGAGAGAAAGGTCTTCTTTCCATTGGTTCACTCCCCAAATGGCCAATCTGAAGCCAGGAGCCAGGAGCTTCTTCTGGGTCTCCCATGCGGGTACAGGGGCCCAAACGCTTGGGCCATCTTTCATGGCTTTCCCAGGCCATAGCAGAGAGCTGGATTAGAAGAGGAGCAGCCAGGACTAAAACTGGTGCCTATATGGGATGTTGGTGCCGCAGGCGGAGGATGAACCTACTGCACCATGGCACCGGCCCCTGAAGTCATAGCTGGGTTGTGCAGCTAGTCTGAATGCCTACCCAGGTTTTCTTAGTATTATTGAGTTGTAAGAGTTCTTTCTATATTTTAGAGACAAACACTTATCAAATATATGCTTTTCAAATACTTTTTCTCTGTCAGTCTTTGTAGTTTCTTGACGGTGTCAGTTGAAGCACAAAATTATTTACTCTTGATCAAGTCCCATTTAACAGCTTTCTGTTTGTATCACTTGTACAGTTTGTGTTGGACTAAGAAGGCTTTGTGTAGTCTGAAGTCACAGAGATTTGTTTATTTGAAAGGCAGAGTTACGGGGCAGAGACAGAGAGAGACCTTCCATCTACCGGTTCACTGTCCAAATGGCTACAACAGATAGGGATAA